ATGGAATCAGAAGACCTAATTCTAGTCCTGACTCTCCAACTTAGTAGCTGTGTGATAGTAGACAAATCACATTAGTACCGGGACCTTCAGTTTCTCATCTATGCTGTACAAATACGTGCATTATAAAAGCATTTTGTAAGCTATTCAGTGCCAGTGCTGCCAGCCCAGAATCAGCCTCTTAGGTTTTTTTTGTCTCCTTCCAGATGTTCAGCACACTCTTATAATCTCACCCATTTCTTGGATCACCTTACCCTTCCTTATCAGTCCACCCTTAATTACTTCTAGAGATTCTAGTCCAAGTTAGAAAAATATTTCTCTCAACTTGCTTGGTTTATGAAGTAATAAGGTCCTTTCTGTCCACAACCACCAGAACCTCAACAGGCAGCTTCCACGTTTCTAAACCTTAGCCACTCACTTCTTTCAACTAGCCTGTCTTTCTTAAACCCACAACCCTAATCTTCTGCATTCTTTCCAGCCTTTCCCATCTGAATTGTCTCTGGTGGGTTAGTATACTTATCTGGTGTCCCCTCCCCCATGCATTTCTACCTTTTTCATCAATCATCGTGCCCCATATCCAGTTTTTTTCTTTCTAAACAGTTTATCTAAAATAGACTTTTCTTCATATCTCTCCTATTTTCTGACTTCACTTTAATGTCCTGCATACTTCTCCAGGTCACTGGCTTGCATAGGTGGCAGAGTCCATATCCACAGTTTTAGGGTTTCTTTGATTTTCTAATACAAACGATAGACTAAAAGTTGGTATAATTAAAACCCCACTTTCCCAATTTGACTACTTCTGTCCAGTTTTAATTTTGGAAAAGTTAAATAATGTTCTCTTGAATATATAGTCATAGTAAATTCAGAACTTGCCAATTAATGCTCCAGGTAATGCTGCTTTTATTAATGTGATACAAAAGGGAGTAGGATATTTATTCAACCTCATAATTGGCCAGGGAGTTCTAGTGTGAATGAGCAGACTGTTTTATTGCCTCTGTTGCTATGATCAGACAGAGTAACACTAGCAGTATTGTGCCTATTTGCTCTCCCCCATAAAATCTTCCCCAGGTAGATCTGTTATTTCAGAAGACAGAACTAAACCCAATAGTAGAAGTTTGAGGGGGACAAATTTTAGCTGTAAACAGGAAAGAATTTTTTTTTTGAGTTATCCAGCAATGGGACTAGATGTCATGCAAAATAGTAAGCTCTCTGTTATTGGAAAGTAATCAGGCAGTGGCCTAGATAACTAAGTTAGCTTTAAGGTCCCTTCCAGTATAGAGTACCTCAAAGTCTAGCTCCAGTGCCTCCTCCTCCATGAAATCCTCCCTAATTGCCCAGTCAAGAGAGATTTCTCTGTCTAGTCTTAGCACATTGTTTGTACTTAGGCATTTACTATATTCTAAAATATTACACTATGTGTATGTGTGTGTATGTGTGTACACACACACACACACACACACACACACACACATATATATATATATACACACACACACACACACACACATATATTATATCACCCCTCCTAGATGGTAACCTTCTTGAAAGCAAGAGTGGTATGTTATTTATCTTTTTCTGCAGGACATTACAGCATTGAGTGAATATTAAGTCATAAAACAGATTTTGGACATTATAGTTCAAATCACGTCCTTGAAACAACAAAAACATACTATAAAAAAAAAACTTGTTCCAGTAGGATTATATCTTAAAAGGCAGTTGTTAGTTCCCAACATCTGTTTTGAAAGGATTCCACTCTAGTTATTCTATGAACTGCATGTATGAGAGCTGTCAACACAGCCAGCACAGATAAATGCTTGAGCCTTAATGTATTGAGAGATGACATTTGTTTGTTCTCTTTAGAACAGTGTGATATTTCAGTATCATGCTGTGTGTATATGATGAACTTGTATGGAAACAGACATTCTCATCCTTTGGTGTCAATGTATGTTTAAAATAGTTTGGGTATTATGAAACTAAAGATGGTAAGATTTTGGGAAACCACTTCCCTGAGGATGCTTGGGTTAAAAACCAGAGAAAACTGGGGCAAGTGAGTTGGATCCAATCACCTAAACCAGAAAAGGAATGATTATTCATATAGCTAAGGACATGCCAGTCATCTCTTTTCTGCATGTGAACTAAGAGGCATCCTTCCACCAGGAACCAACTTAGAAGATGGGCCAAAAAAGAATTTAGAGTCACACATTTAGAACTGGAATGGATCTTAGAGGTCATTTCCAACCCTCTCATTTTACAGAGAACATGGAGATCCAGAGGTTCAGTGAACTGAGGAAAGTTTGCCTCAGGAAAAAACACAGAAGGCAGCTTCCAGCCATCTGAGAGAACTAAAGTGATGCATAAAGTCAGCGTCCACTCTCCAATCCACATAGATACTTATGAGACTGGAACCAGATTTAGAATATCATACTGTATTTGAAGAAGCCAAGCTTCTCCAAAGGGTAATACTAGCCTTAAGAACTGGCTAGTGAATATGCTCACTGACCCTGGAATAGAAATTTGAGCAGGTGAACCATGCATGCAGTTCTACCTTTGTACTTCATACTTCTGTTTATACTCTTCTTCCCTTATTTCTACCTGTGCTTAGAGATCTTACTGGTCAATAAGGGTCCAACTTAATCCCTACCTCCTCCTTGAACCACCTCAGCCCACAGCAATCTCTTCCCTTCCCTGATACATTATCACTCTCTGTCTAAGATGTAATAGGAAACACAGGGTTTTAAAGTAGAAAGACTTGGATCAATTCTGACCACGATACTTTATAAATGTGTGGCCTTGGATATGTCATTTAACTTCTCTCTCAGCCTCAGTTTCCTTATAAAATAGAAATAATATTGCACAAGCTATCTCAAGAGTTGTGAGGAAAGCATTTTTGAAGCCCCAAAAAGTGCTATATAAATGAGTTAATAGTACTACTGCTGCAATTTAAATATTTCTGGAATGTATCTTATCTCCCCAAATCAGATTACCTACATCTCTTGAAGTCAGTTCTATTCAGAACCTCCCTGAGAGTTTAGTTAGGCAGGAAAAGATCTGTCAAGTGTCATAAATCATGGGGGCCAAAAATCCAGCAATAAGTCAACAAAAACCTGAGAGGTACAAGGTGACGAGAGTTTAGGCAGATAAAGTATTAAGTTCAGGAAAGTCATCTGCGCTAGGAAAAGTTCAGACTCCTGCAGGTCAAGCAGAAAAGATCAAGAACTTAGGATAACCAACAAGGGGTCAGTAGCCCAGACAAAGGGTCTGGTCAACAGCAATGATAGCCATCTTTCAAATAGTGCTTTCAGGTTTGCAAAGTATTTCACATTCTTCATCTCATTTAATCCTTATTCCAAGCCTGAGGGATTGGTTCAATCATTATTAATAGTTTTTTTTAACATCTTCCAAGGTTGTAGTAGGAGGAAGATGAGGATAAGGGAGGGAGGCAGCATAGTATGAAGATGGCTGGGAAATGGTATAGAGGCCTAGTTTGGAACAAGATGGGGCAAAAGCTTACCTTTCAGAGTAGGATTCAAACCCAGGTCCTTTCGGACTTCAAATCCAGCATTCTTTCTGCTAAGCCACATAGCCTTGGGTCCAAGTAGGAGGAGTGGGGACCACAGCAGTGAGAATGGAGCTAGATAAAGATCATTTCAAGGCAATTGCTTCTTCCATAACATGCCCCAAGCTAGAACTGTATGAATAACCCGATTCCGCAAGTAGGGAATGTGCTGAGTTTAATTTATTTTTGACTTAAGTGCTCTTTCACTGTAAAATATGGGCTTTGTAAACAATCTAAAGTTTTATACTAAGCAAAACTAGAGCAAACTTGGTTAAGAATTTTTACAAGAGTATCCTAAGCCATTGCATATACCTTTACATCAAACAGTACAGTACTATTACCTGAATTGCTGCAGAATAGCTTTAAAGAAATGACAGTACCTTTTGGAAAGCTTATTCTGCAACGCTAATTAGTGAGTCACAAGTTTGACAGAGGATTTTTGTTTTTGTAGTTTACTCTTCTAGAAGAGTTCAGAAATGGGAGATAATCTACTCGGGGAGATTTGAAGGGTGCGATTTAAATGGGGGAAGAATTAGGAAATGACATCCAAGGTTATGATTGTTTTATTTTATTATTTAAAGATGGGTAAAAAAGAGAAAGCAAAAAAAAAAACTAGAAAGGGAAGGAGATATCACTTTCCTCTTCACAATGATATGTATTTTCAACAGATAAACCCCTTTTATAAGATTTATAAATTTATTTTAATAGTATTTTACTCTTTCCAGTTACATGTAAAGACAATTTTTGACATTCATTTTTTATAATTTTTTTTTGTGAGGCAGTTGGGGTTAAGTGACTTGCCTGAGGTCACACAGCTAGTAAGAGGCAAAAGACAGCTATCAGGGAACGAATCTTTTTTGGCTACAGCAACTCCAAATGTCCATCTATTACAGTATAGAGGAACTGGAATCTCCAATGGTGAAAGGCATACCTATACTAAAAGAATCACTAATCAAACTAGAAAACATTTGCCTGAATGCTTCTAAGACAGCATTTGATTAGGGCATGGTACTGATTGAGGTTACAGGTTTGACCCTTGAATCAGTCAGTTGACTTGGTTCTATTCTGAGACGACCAACTACATGCACTCTTTTTAAAAGTGTGTTTTCCTGGTGACCAAAAAAACCACTCTGCATTTCATGGCAATCTTTTAGATGGATCATTAGCATCCACCCTTCATGTATAAAGTGAATCCATTATAAAAATACCCTCATCTGTAAAATGGGCATAAACTACCTGCAATACCTACATCATGAAGTTATTATAAGGATCAATAAGTTAATATAATCAATATATGTTATTATAAGGATGAAAGGACATATATATGTAAAATGCTTTACCGTCTTAGTGCTGTATGTCATTTTTACAGATTATGCATAGTTCAAAAAGTCATGAATACCCACTTGTGTTTTAGAACTGCTAAGTAGTTTCTTCTATTCTTTTTCAGAGCCCCTGAAATTATCCTTGGTTTACCTTTTTGTGAGGCAATTGACATGTGGTCCTTGGGCTGTGTCATTGCAGAGCTATTTTTGGGTTGGCCTTTATACCCAGGAGCATCAGAATATGATCAGGTGAGTCAAGATAATCCCAGATATTCTTGACAACTCTCCATTTAATTTCCTTTATTTCCTCTTGTAGAAAATATGGTAGATTAGAATTTTATGTTTTATACAACATACTCATGGGCATGTTTAGGTTTTTTAAAAATATCTGCTTCAGCCCCAACTTACAGGGCCCAAAACGTTATTCTCTTAATTTTTCCATTCTTTCTTTTCTACTCTTCCCCCTCCTCCATTTTCTTTTCTTTTTGTTTTTGTGTATAAAATTGTAATTTCTCTTGTTCTGAAATCCCCTAAAGCCACTAACACAACAGAAGGTCAGTGATACCGTGACTTTATTTTCTCTTCTTTCACAGATTCGATATATTTCACAAACACAAGGTTTGCCAGCAGAATATTTATTAAGTGCAGGAACAAAGACAACAAGGTTTTTCAACCGTGATACAGACTCACCATATCCTTTGTGGAGGCTAAAGGTAATAAGAGAATTCTGTAATTCCTCTTCATCTGTCAGATTAATCTTGGAAGAAGGGAACAGTCTGATTAGTAGAGATCATTTTGAAACCTGGAGGCTTTTCACTGGGTGAGGTTTCAATGAAGTTTGCAAAATTGAAGGCCTTTGAAAGGTTTCCTTTCAAAAATAGGGAAGGGATCATGGACCAGAATTGCTAAGTGTACTAGCTATGCTGATTTGGGAGTAGTTTAGATAACCAGTCAGCTTTTACTTGTTTTGACCAGACACCAGATGATCATGAGGCAGAGACAGGGATTAAGTCGAAGGAAGCAAGGAAGTACATTTTTAACTGTTTGGATGACATGGCACAGGTAAGCTTCATGGGTAAGTAGTGGAAGCCCTTTGATTACCCAGGTATAAGAAGACTTAGTAAATGCCAAGTTCTTTGACAGATGGGATGAAGAATGCTTGGTGGAAATCCACAAGCTCCCTTAATCATGTCATTTGGCCCTGAATTACTTTGAACATGGGTATAAGATATATACATAGGCCCTAACTAGTTTTAGTAAGATTACCATTTGGGCCTATGAAATATCTTAAAAGTATGATATTTTTGTTACAAGCAGTTTTCAGTAAAGGAATTCGTTTTGTGAGACTAATAATAGTCTATCCTGCTAATATTTCCTGTGGAAGAATTTAGCCATATCAGTAAACTCAGACATCCCAGACATAGAGGAAGAAGTCATTACTTTTTAGGTCTTAAAGAATGAATATACCTTTATAATAAGTACAAGCTGCCATCTCCTTAAGTGTGAAAAATGAGTCTAGCACCTTACCAAAATAAAACTTTTTAATGGAAAGAGGAGTTTACATTAAAGTCATGTAGAGATGGGGATGTGTAGACCAATAACCACTTTGAAAACCTCTTTCTATAACTAGGATCAGCAAAGATTTTGAGGAAAACTGCTACCTTTTTAACTGAGGCATGTTAGAAGGGATCAACAGAAAATGATCTGCAGAAGGCATCGGTGGAAAATAAGCACAAATATAAACTACAAATAATGAACTCTGACCCCCGCCTATGTTGGTCAGAGATCATTTCAGGGAAGACATTTTGAAGATAGAAAGAATTCAGACCCTGAAATAAAATGTTACAGTTTTTAAAAAAAGCAGTAAAGGGGGCATTCAGTATCTGATTTCTCCCATGAGGTGATATTTAGATTAGAAAAGGATGAAAGACATGTCAGTTGTTCTTCCACAGAGTGTTCATGAGCTAACTTTTCCCTCATTTTATTTCTTCTAATTTCTTATTATTCAGTTATCGTTAATTTTTTATAAAGGATAACAAATAACTTTGCTTCAGGTTAAGGGGTCAAAACATTAATCAACTCATATCTCATTCTCTAGCAGACTGCTGATGTCTCATAGGTTTTACCCCCTCCCCCTTTTTGTCCCCATGCCTCTATTGCAAAGTCCTAAGCCACATCCTGAATAGTCAAACTAGCTAAGGAGGGCTGTGAAGAGTTGCTACCTGGCCCCCTAATAGGCAAGATGGAGGCTACTCAGTTGTGGGGTGGGCTAAAGGTGAGCTGAAACAGAAAATGCAGAGAGAGTCAAGGGAAGGATCCACTGTGACTTGTCTGGTTCTCCCTCTAGGTGAATATGACCACAGATCTGGAAGGGAGTGACATGTTAGTGGAAAAGGCTGACCGGCGAGAATTCATAGACCTGCTGAAGAAGATGCTGACCATTGATGCAGATAAGAGGGTCACACCGATCGAAACCCTGAACCACCCCTTTGTTACCATGACACACTTGCTTGATTTTCCCCATAGCACACAGTAAGCCTCCTTCTTGGTGTTTTATAACAATTTAAAAGAGAGAACGGTGGGAAAATAGGAGACAACCAAAACTAGGTGAACTACTGGGCCGTTCTAAACACTGGGGAACCATATATGAAGGGTTGTGCCCATAATGGCAATATCAAAAGTACAATCAGTTTAATTATTAAATATTAAATATTAAACAGTAGAGCTATTTTTAGCCCAACCTAAAATGGACCCAGTCTCAGTAGGCACAACCACAGTGCCTGACAAATTACAGTTGTTTAATAAATGCTTGTTGATTGATCTCCATTAACACTGCCATGACTATTAACTAGGCCTGAATTCTCAGTGTTGGCCCTGACCCCTAACTAACCTTGATCTGGGTTATCAGCTGGGGAAGGGGAGTGTTTGTTATACAGGTTAAATCTCTTTGCAACAGCTACAAGAGAGCATACTTCCTTAGTGCTAGAGTTGATATAAGGAAATTTCAGCTCAGCTGTGTACATCTCAGTGATTAAACTGTGTAGGGTCTGACTTAATTATTTGAACTAAGGCTTAAGTCAGTATTACTGGGCCATGGGAGTAAAACAAGATGCTTGGATAGCAGCTTATGTAAATAACCTGTCCTATAAACCTAGATATTCTAAGCAAGTTAAATCACAGATAAGGATTTGATCACTTCCTTCAATGTCCTTTAAAGATTCTAAAGCATCTCAATAGGAATCATATAGGCAGCACTAAGTATAATCACTATACCTGTATAGAGGAATATAAGGAGGACATGAGTCTTTAAAGAGCTGGCTGAGCAATTTCTATGCAAGATTAACACAAGAAGAAATAGACTTCAACTAAAGCCAGAAAGACTTTGATGGTTGTAAAGGAAGAATTTCTTAATTGTTATAGTGATAAAATGCTGGGATGAGTTAATGGAATGGTTTATAATGTCTCCATGTCAAGAGAATTTCAAGAAACCATTTGTCCAAAAAAAATAAAAAAACGTTCTTGTTAGGGGAGACAGCTAGGTGGCACAGTGGATACAGTACTGGCCCTGAAGTCAGGAGGACCTGAGTTCAAATCTGACCTCAGACAAATAACACTCACTAGCTGTGTGACTCTGAGCAAGTCATTTAACCCCAACTGCCTCACCAAAAAAAATAAAAAGAAACCATTTGTCTTGGATGATTATACGTTCACCTGAAGGCAGGAACCTGGGCCATATGACCTCAAAGTCCCTTTCAGCTCTAAGGTTCTAGGAGGAAACTATTATATAATCTTATACTCAAGTATTAGTTATCAACTTGAGGAAAATCCCTTAACCTCCTGGGGCCTTAGTCTCTTCATCTATAAAATGAAGGGGTTGGACTAGATGATGTCTTAAGTTCCCTTTCCAACTCAAAATTTTATGATCCTTATTAGATGTTATCAGTATAAACATAATATGGAGAACATGAAAAAAAGCAGATTTTTAATTAAAAGGACAACAAGGAAGCAGATTCTGAAGGTGATTTTTGGGTGCTCATGGGGTTTTGGAGTTTGGTGTACTTTCTTTTTCTTTAATATACATATACTAGTAGCATCATTCTTATCAATCAGTAAGCATTTCTCAGTTCACTACTATATACCAGGCACTACACTGGGTGTTAGAGATGCAAATACAAAGAATGAAATATTCTTTACTCTCAAGGAGCTTCTAGTCTGTCAAGGAAGACAACCATATAGAAATGTATACCACACAGAGGTAAAGAGAATAAATACACGTAATTAAAAAGTAGGAGGGGAGGGCATCAGGAAAGGCTTCACATAGAAGGTGGCACTTACACTTCTATTTGTCAAAAACGAGGAGAGTAAATGCCAGGCATCGGTGGAAAGCCACAGCAGAAGTACCGAGATGGAAAATGGAGTGCCATGTGTGAGAAAGAGAAAGAAAGCCAGTTTGGCTGAATCATGGAGTTCAGGAAGGAAAGTAATGTTTAAGGCTGGAAAGACAGGTTAAGCCTTGGCTGTGAAGGATTTTAAAAGCCAGATGGGGAGTTTTTATTTTATTCTATAAACAACAGGGAACCATTGGAGTTTATTGAGTAAACTAGTGATGTGATCAGATCCAAGCTTATGGAAAATCACTTTGGCAGTTATGTGGAAAATGGATTGGAATAAGTAGAAACATAAGGCAGGAAGACCAATTAGGAAGTCATTGCATTAGTCCAGACAAGAGGTGATAAGGGCCTGAACTAAATCAGTAACTATGTGAATAAAGATAAGGGGTTGGATACAAAAAATATCATAAAGACAGATATGCCAAGATTTGATAACTGCTTGGATATATGGGGTAAGGGAGAGTGAAGAGCTGAGGATAATGCTGAAGTAATAAACCTGAGAGACTAGAAGGATAGTGATGCTTTCAACAGGTAAAAGGAATTTTGAAAGAGAGATGGCTTTGGGACGAAATGATAATGGATGAGTTGTGTTTTGGTCATGTTGAGTTCAAAACTCCCATTTGAAATGTCCAATAGTGATGTGAAACTGTAGCTCAAGGGAGAGCCAGATAAAGAGACAGATAGAAATCTGTATAGAGATGATAATTAAAGCCATGGGAAATGATGAAGTAAGCAAGAGAGAATGTAGGGAGAAAAAATGCTTAGAACATAGCCCTGGGTATACTTGCATTTAGGGGGTGATAATTAGCCAGCAAAAGAGACTGAGAAGGATCAAACAAGTAAGAGGAGAATCAGGAAACAACAGTGTCACAAAAACCCAAAGAGGAGAGAATTTCCAAGAGGAGAGGAAGTGATCGACAGCTTCAAATGAAACATGGAGGTCAAAAAGGATGAGCAATAAGAAAACCTATAGATTTGGCCATTCAAGATTAGTGGTCATTTTGGAGAGAACAGTTTGTTGATTATAAGGTCAAAACTGCCAAGTTATGAGTAGCCAAACTGCCAAGGATTGAAGAGAAAGACAATGTGAAGGCAACGAGTATAAACAGCATTTTGTAGGAATTTAACTGAGAAAGGAAGGAGAGATAATACAATGATAACTTGAGAGTAGAGTAAGGTCTAGTGAAGGTTTAAGGTTAGGGGTGACTTGGGTTTGTTTGAAGGTTAAAGGAAAGGAACCATGGCTGGTGAAGTTGAAGAGAGATGATTAAGGGGGAAATGTGCTAGAGAGGACAGGACAGGGTGAAATAAATGGCCTGTGGAAAGAGGTTGGCTTTGGCAAGGAGAAAGGCCACCTCATTATCAGAGCCTGGGAGGAAGGAACCAGAGTGGAGGAGCAAAGAGGGAGCTCATGAATAATGGCCTCAGTTTCCTCAATAAAGAGGCAAAGTTCTCAGCTCAGATATCATTAGGGTTTCTCTCTTTTTTATTTTTAACTTATAAATGGAATGAAGAGAAAAAGAGAGAGGGAAAGAGAGAAAAGTTAAAAACAGACGTTTATGCATAAGGAAGCAAGTGTCTGATGCCTGCGCGCGCGCGCGTGTGCGTGTGTGTGTGTGTGTGTGTGTGTGTGTGTGTGTGTGTGTGTGTGTATGCTCGCATGCGCAGTACCCTTGAGGGGAAATAGCAGTTCCCTGGACCAGCCCTAAGCTGATAGTCAGCCTTGGGATCTCTTGCTTTTCTGGAATAAGAGTGAAAGACAGAGAATGGCCTCAGGAGCAAAGTGGAAATCATGGCCAACTAGCCATTTGTATGAAAGTGTTGACAAATCAGGAAGTTTTTATAATGTGCTTAGCACTGTGGGGTATACAAAAGAAGGAGAAAATGTAGTTTCTGCTCTTAAGGGGCTTAAAATTGGAATTATGTGAATACAACCCTATTAAGGGTTGAAAATGGAAAAAAGGAATGTGGGCTAGAGCAGGGAGTTTTAACCTAGAGTTGATAAACTTTTTTTTTATATTTTTTTCTTCGTATTTGTATGTATTTTATTTTATCACTTAAAAATATTCAGACTGCCAAAAACTATCCATGACACAAAAAAGGTTAAGAATCTTTGGCCTAGAAGATTGTTAAAAATATAAAGGATATAAGATTTTAACTAGATCCACTTATCAGCTTGTATGTGCTACATATTTCCTTTACCTATGAGGGTAGAAAAAAAATTTTTTTTCCTTTATCTAAAGAATTTTAAGTATTACTAATACATAGCCTTTGTTTAGAGAGAGAAGCAGGAAATTTTGACTTACAGTTGAAATTTGTAGTTGATTTCATTATGTTCTCTTTAACACTTTCTCTTTTTTTCTCTCCACCTCCTTCCCACCCACCCCATTTCCTTTTGCCCCAATTCTTTTGTCTCCCTTCATCTTTTCCTCCCCCTTCCTGATGAAAAGTGTCAAGTCTTGCTTCCAGAATATGGAGATTTGCAAGCGCCGGGTGAATATGTATGATACAGTGAATCAGAGTAAAACACCTTTCATCACCCATGTGGCCCCCAGCACATCTACCAACCTAACCATGACCTTTAACAACCAGCTGAACACTGTCCACAACCAGGTAAGGCAAGAGCCAGAGGTGGGAGGGAAAGGAAGAACATGCCAAAATGACATCACTAGTTGCAATAAAACATAAGAGGGCCTTTGCTCTATGTACTTTGTAGAACATTCTGGGGATCAGGCATCGTCTTCCACTGAACTTGTTTCCAGTCCAGAATTCAGCACAATTAAATATGAAACAAGATAAATGGATAGGTATGATTTAATAGAGTTTGTTTCTGACCATACTTTCCCTGAGAAGCTAAATCCCTTTTGTGTTGGACATTGGCTTAGCCAGAGTAAGTTTTCTTATATGAGTCACATGGTAGGCATTCTGTAGTTCTTTTCTCTCTCCCAGTGTGGGACTGATGGCAGGGAGATGCTAGCTTTTATCTTTGACATTTATTCAGCACTGAATGCTAAAATCTGTTAGTCCTCATAGTCTAGAAATCAAGTAGTCCAGTCCCTTCCTTTTATATAAGGGGAAACTGGGATATGGGTAGTTTAAAATAACTAGCTCACCGTAACACGACTGATTAATGGCACAACCAAGACCAGAAACTATAGCTCTCAATTCTGCCAAACTAAAGTTTAGTGACCTGTAATAGATGGTAGTCTTTGTATATTGAAGAATTTAAAAGTACTTTTCATGTCCTGTACTGAAAAAATTGAATGTTGGAGAAGGTAACGCTGAAAGGAAAAGAAAGGCTTTATAACTAAGGATGGGGGAAAACTAGAAGCTGAGATGATTAAGAGATATGAAAGGTACTAAGGGAAGATGTGCATTTAGGTATCTTCTGTTCTGTTTCTCCTTCTCCCATTCAAGTCAGTCACCACTTCTGCTGTCCCAGTGAGTCACACAAATGTATGCCTTGTCTCCTCCAAAAGACAAACATATATTTCATCATCAGGCATTTATTGAATGCCTGTGTTCAAGGCACTGTGCTAAGTATATGGAGAGGTATAAGGCACTCCTCTCAAGGAGCTTACAGTCTAGAAAAAGACAAGCCTTCTACATAAAAAAGATCACTTAGAGCACTCACTGAGTACCAAATATGTGTAATACATACAATTAATGCTATAGTAGTTCAGAAAAGGGACAGTCACTTTAAGCTTGATCAGAGAAGGCTTCATGAAATCAGTGGGACATCAGCTACATTTAAAAAAAAAAAGAACAAAAAAAGAACTTAAATATATACAGAGGGATAGGGAGAGTTTAGCAATGCTAGGGAAGTATAAATGTGCCAGCCATGTGTGGGAACTAGAAATAAATTAGTTTGGATGGAACAGAAGGCTCTCAAATCAACAATCACTTATTAAGTACTTACTACGTGCCTGGCACGTGCTGAGCACTGAAGGTACAAAGACAAAAGAAAAGCGATTCCTGTGCTCAGAGAGTGTAAGTTCTAATTGGAGATAATATCTTTAAATAAGATGTAAAATATATACAAAAGAGTTTTGGGAGTGAGTACACTAGCAGTGGGGGGGGGGGGAGGAAAAGGGAGAGAAAACCAGCAAAGGATTAATGGAGAAGGTGGCTCTTGAGCAGTCTTAAAGTAAACCATGCCATGCAGTCTGTATTCAGATCGAAGTGTACTTTTTAAACTTTTCTTTATTTATTTTTCCTGTTTTCTTTTTGTCTGTGTTCTCTTTTGCAACATAGCTAATATGGAAATGTTTTGCATGATTGTACATCTATATCAAAATGCTTGCTTCTTTCTCAAGGGCGGGGCAAGGGAGGGAGGGAATTTGCAACTCAAAAATTATAAAAAGCAAATGTTAAAAAATCATTTTTACATGTGAGAAAAAAATAAAAGCATCCTTAAAAAAATAAAATGGAGAAAAAAAGAAAGTTGTTGATTATCTCTCCCTTTATAAACAATTGTAGCAGTCTAAAAAGTAGTTCCTAGGTGGTGTCTGAATAGACAGTAATGAGCTTGAATAAATCTTTAAAAATGCAAAGTAAAAATAAATAAAAAATAAAGTAAACCATGGATTCCAAGGGATGGAGATAAGATCCTTTCCAAGCAGGAGGGCCAGTCGATGCAAAGACAAAGATAGGAAATGGAGAACTGCATGTACAAAACAGTGAGCAGGTCAGTAGAGCTGGGTCATAGAATGTGAGGAGAACGATGTATAAGAAGACTGGAAAGATAAAGGGGCCAAGTTGTGAAGAACTTTAAATGTCAAACAGAAGACTTTATGGTATTTTTAATTATATTTTATTTTATACATAATAGGAAGCCACTGGGTTTTGTTTTGTTTTATTGGGGGGCTGGCTATTTAATTATATTTTATTTTATACATTTAATAGGAAGCCACTGGGTTTTGTTTTATTTATTTGTTTTATTGTTTAACTGGCTGTTGCAATAGTCCAAGTGAGTGGTAATGAGGGCCTTAACTACGGTGGCAGGTGTGGAAGTGGAGAGGAGGGGACTTAAGCTAGAAATGCTGGGTAGAAATTCTTAGAGAGAAGTAATAGTAGATTAGTCTGGAACTGATTGTAGAGAGCCTTAAAAGCCATGCTAGGAGTACAGATCTTGTTCTCTAGGTAGTCAGGATCCACTGGAAGTTTCTGAGCAGCTGCAGGTATGTTAGATGAATTTGAAAACTTTATACAAAGGGAAAAGAGATTATAGACCAAGCAAGAGCTAAGGGTCTGGACTAAGGTAGGGGTAGTGATAATAGAAAAAAGGGATGGATTCAAGAGATATTACAGAGGAAAACTAATGAACTTGGTGCCTGATTGGATTATGGAAATTAAGGAAGGGTGGAGAGTCAAGGACCTTTCTGGGGTTTCAAAGATTGAGACTATTATGGTATCACTGACAAAAATGGGAAATTAAAAGGGAAAGCTGTTTTTGTTTTTGTTTTTTGAGGAGAGATGATCTCAGATTTAGACATGCATGGATGAAGAAAGCAAGACATCTAAATAAAGGTATCCACTAGGCAGTTAGATAATGCTAGAGAAAATAGTGTGAGGGGGAATATGTAACTTTTTTTTTGTTTTTTTTTTCCACCAGCCATTTAATCAACGAATAAAATAGATTCACATAAACCTTTTCTAGTTTCTTCCAGACAAAAGTGTAGGTTGTACCTTGTTTTTGTTTTTCAAATTAGACATGACAAACTTAAAAAAAAAACAGATCCCTTGGGTGGTGACTTGCAAATTTCTAATTCACTCTGTAATTCTTTTCAATATTAAGAGCAACACTGTATTCAAAATGTAATTTGATTTACAGCTATTCTTTTACTTCTTTATTGCATCTAATACTCGTTCAGCAACTTGTTGAGATTGTCTTGTTTTGCCTTCCATTATGCTCTTATCATCCTGCTTTTCTTCCCTCTCAGCTTGTATTTCTTTTCCTAGTTTCCTGTTCCCAAACTGTGATATTCCCCAAGCAAGGCTGTCTTCAGCCTTTTATTGTTCTTACTACATTTTCTTCTCCATAAAGCTCATCTGTTTTAACAGCATCCATCAATCAATAGTCAGTTTGTAGACTACTAATCTAGAGACTCTATTGGCTTCTCATCTGAGCTGCAGTCTCATATCTTTAGCTGAGTACTGAACATTTCTACCCCAATGTCTTTCTGTCAAAACACATGTCTAAAATTAAACTCTTGGGGCAGCTACGTGGTGGAGTGGATAGAGCACCAGCCTTGGAGTCAGAAGGACCTGAGTTCAAATGTTATCTCAGACCAGAGACTTTACACTAGCTGTGTGACTGTGGGCAAGTCACTTAACCCCAATTGCCTTGCCAATCAATCAATCAAATAAATAAATAAGATTAAACTCTTCAAAACAGATTCTTCATCTCTGCCGGTAGGACCACCAGTTTCCCAAGCCACCAAGACTCAAAAGCTTTAAAGTCATCCTTGACTCATCTCTCTACTTCATGTCTTGTACCCAGCAATTCCTCTTTATTCTTATTTTGAAATCCCTCTCCTATCAGTTCCTTTCTCTTCATTCCCATGTCTACTTCCTACTCCAGGTACTTAATACTGCATGCTTAGACAATTTCATCATTCTCCCAGCTAAGCACCCCTTCCTCAGTTTACTCTCTACTTCCTGCAAAACATCTGACATATTCCTACCAGATTAATCATTCCTAATTAAACAATACTGTCACCATATTATCTTACTCCTTTGCTCCAAAGGCTAATAACTCCTTGCTACTTAAACATCAAACCTCTTTTTTTTTTTCACCTACTCTCCTAGACCTTTTGTAATCTGACTCATCCCTTCTTTCCAGTCTTATTTCCTATAATTCTTCAATTTGAACCCTCTGTTCTAATCTTCCGGTCTTCTTATTTTCTGATCAGAATGTGTAGTGTAATATACAATGGCTTTAGAATGACAAGGCCCGAATTTGAGTCTTTGCTCCAACATTTCATTCACTATCTTAGGTGAGTCAGTTAACAATTTTTTCCTTTAGTGATCTCATCTGTAAAATGGGGATGATACTTGTATTACTTACCTTACAAAGTTATTATGAGGAAAGTACTTTGTAAATGTGAATTTTTCTTGTATATTTTTCCTGTGGAAAATGAAAAGAAATGGGCTAGAAGATAATACAATTAGATAGATTTGGAACTGATTAAATGATCAATCAAAATTGATGTTAATTGTTGATAATGACTTAGGGAAACTCCAGTGGGGTGTCCTAAGAATCTGTTCTGCTTAACATTTTTATCAATGAACCAAATAAAAGCACAGATTCCAGACTTATAAGATTTGCTGGGAAAGATAGCTAAGAGACAAAATTAGAATTAAAAAATATCTTGACAAGCTAGGATACTGAATTTACAAGCACAATTAATAAACATTTAAGTCCCTATTATGTGCTCAGGACTATGCCATGCACTGGAGCTAAAAAGACAAAAATGAAGAAGTCTCTGCCCTCAAGGCACTTAAATTCTATGGGGCAAAATGGAATAAAATGAAATGTAACAGAGAAGAATATGAAGTCTTACACTTGGGTTCAGAAAATGAGAGTACAAAATGGGAGGGATATGGCTAGACAGTAGTTTGAAAACAGTCTGGAGATTTTCATGGACCAATGGGAAAAAACTGGGATAAGGCATCCAAGAAAGCAAATACAATCTTAGGCTGCACTGATAAGTTAAAGTCCTGTTGGTCAGACCACATCTGGGATATTCAGTTCAGTTCTGGATGCCACATTTTAGAAAGGACATTCATAAATTAGAGTGTCCAGAAAAGGACAATTGGGATACTAAAGAGCCTTGAGTTCATGCCATATTATGGAACCAAGGATGTTTATTCTAAAGAATAGGTTTTCTGTTTGTATTGATGTAAGGAAGATTTGTGATATTCAGAACTATCCAGAAATGTAATGGACTGCCTCAAGAGGTGTAAGTTGGGTTAGAGTCTTTAAGTCCCTCCCAACTCTTGAAAATCTGAGTCATTATTTCTTCTTCTATATCTCTGCTCTTGGTCTTCTCTCCTAACTAAATTCTACACATCCTTCAAATCCTTGCCTAAGTCACCTCTGCCTGAAGGATTCTCTGATTACCCCGGACTTCACTCATGTTCCTCTCTTAATTCTGAGAGCATTTGGAGTCTATTAGACACACATTTTTGCATTTATTTATATATTCATTTTTTCTAGTTGTTTCACATAATTAGTCTCGTCTTCCCATCTAGATTTTAAGCAGAGACCACTGAGTTCTCTAGCTTCTCCCACAGCACCAAGCACTGTATATATGACATAATGAACATGTTGTACATGCTTGTTGGTTGATACAGTAACACAAAACTGCACAGGCAGTGTTACTGAAGAACAAACATTACTCTGCCTCCTCTCTGAAGAAGCACAGGAAAGAAAGTTGACATGGGGCGTGAGAAAGGAAGTAGAATTTGATTTCCTTCTGAAGTCTCTGCCTACCAGTTAGACATCATTCTAAAAGATTTTTTTTAACGAGAGGAAGTGAGGTGAGAATAATTTCAGTGGCCCATGGTGAGACATCTTTAAACTCTCTTGACCATTTGTTCTCATCTCTGCTGTTCATAAGATTTAGCAGTTGAACACAATTACCATGAGGACACAGAGACCTCAAACAATAAGCCTAATTCTGAATAAGAATTTATTCCTTCCTGTTAAATAAATATAATCTCTCTGCAGAGGGAATTGGCTCTCTAGCCATCAGGGGAGTATGTGTAATCACAGAGATGTGCTGTGGGTCCTCAGTTGTCAGCAGGTATCTAAGTTAACTTGTGAGACCTTTCAATTCTATTTTCCACTCCCCTCTGTCTTTGCTTTTGCTCTTGGTTTTGTTCTTCTTTGTGTTCGTTTACTTGCTTTAGCGTTGTGTGTTCCAACATACCACCTCCCTCATTTTTTATTTTTGTTTATTTTTGTTTAATTCCCATCATTCCTTTAGGCCACCAACCTGGCTCCCACCTCCACCAGTGCCACTATTTCCTTAGCCAATCCCGAAGTCTCCATACTAAACTACCAATCTACACTCTACCAGCCCTCAGCGGCATCCATGGCTGCAGTGGCCCAGCGGAGTATGCCCCTGCAGACTGGAACAGCGCAGATCTGTGCCCGGCCTGACCCCTTCCAGCAAGCCCTTATCGTGTGTCCCCCAGGTTTTCAAGGTAAGGAAAGACAGATTCTTGTAGAGTGATGGCTATTCTCATACTACTTATTTTCTTGTCTTCTAGTCACTTGAAAACTTCCAGTTTTCTGACATCCAAAATATTCTGCCATAGACGATTTTGATGTTATAGAATCTTACTCTTTGAAGTTTCTAGAGTGGAAGATATTGTGAGCTTCCTAATGAGAATGTTAGTTGTTTTCCATTGTGTTTAGTACTGGAGTAGTAGCTTAACTAGATTCTAACTCTTGTCATTTTTTTTTTACCAACTTAGAAATAATATCATACTTTTACCTAAAAGTAATCTACTAGTCAGGCTCACTATTTGAATGTTGCTGCCACTGCTAGATCAGGTTAAGTTAAAAAAATTATACCGCTTTGTACTACTATTATGTTCATGAGTCTTGATTCAGTGTCAGAGGCAGGTCTTGAACCCAAGATTTCCTGACTCAAATGCCTACTCTTTATTCTTCTACATCACACTGCCTCTCCATTAGTGTGGTTTTGCTGTGGAATTTGTTTCCATATAAATAAAATTTAATTATGAAAATTAATATGTTAGCTAAAAAGATTTTAAAGTCAAATGGTTTTTGGATTTACTTACATTCCCACCCTCACCCCACCCCTATAGGCAGATGATCATATATGTCCGTGTTTATCCAGAAATCTCAAACATTGGTTTTCTTACCCCTTAGAGGTAAAAAATATGACAGCTACTTAGAAGTCAGGAAACAGAAGTCTAGAGAAGTAGCCAGCATTAAAGCTAGTGGAATCCAGGATTTAGGATAGTTAGTCTTTCCATTCTTGAAGCACACAGCATTATTTTGAAAGGTAGCTAGTTGAAAATCTTTCTATTACAGTTTCCCAAACAGCAGTTGACTCTTGCCTAAATACATTGCTTATCTTCATAAAATCCTTAATTATGCCCTTGTTCTCAGATAACAGGCATCTTTGTTTCAAAATTGGCTTTAGTATTTTCTATTTAGAGCAAGGTGGCACAGTGGACAGAGCGCCGGGCCTGAAGTCAGGAAGACTCATCTTCCCAACTTCAAATCTGGTCTCAGACACTTACTAGCTATATGATGCTGGGTAAGTCATTGAATTCTGTTTGTCTCACTTTCCTCATCTGTAAAATGAGCTGAAGAGGGAAATGACAGACCACTCCAGTATCTTTGCAAAGAACACCCCAAATAGGGTCACAAGAATCAGACATGACTGAAAACGACTAAACGACAACAATTAAGCATCTCTTCGAAAAAATGTCTTATTTTCCATTAAAATTGCAGCCAAGTTAAGAAGAGTTTCTGTTAACTAATAACTTATTAAAAAATTCTTTTATTTATTTCCTGGTAAAGGGTTACAAGCCTCCCCTTCAAAGCATGCTGGTTATTCTGTGCGGATGGAGAATGCAGTTCCAATTGTCACTCAGGCTCCAGAAGCTCAGCCTCTCCAGATCCAACCAGGTCTACTTGCACAGGTAATTTTTTTCTTGTCTGTCATAACTCTTTTAGGTCTAGTGGAGTCATGAGACCATCATTGATTGTTATGTGCCAATCATAGAATATTTACAGCTAAAACCACAGGATTTAAAAGGGGAAAACCTTGACAAAGTAAAATCCTTGTGCATTAACACTGGTGAAATCCAGTCCTTAATGCACTCATTCAGCACCCTCTCCCCATTAATCTCCCCACTCCCACAAGAGGAATAGTTCTTATAGGATACAAACTGGCTCAAAGGCTTGTGCGTAGGGTGCACTGAGGGATTTATGCACTCCATTTGCAAAGATTTTGCTAGGACATTTCTCCATTCTTTTGATATCTCACAACAAATGGCATAAACTGATCCTTCTCAGCCTGGTGAGGAGGAAGGGGAAGAAATGAAATGTGCTGCTTTCTGAATGGGACCTGGCCTTAGGTTAGGAACTCTACAAGGCTTTAGAGACTCTACCTTAATACACTCCTTATCCAGGAAGGAAAAAAAAAAAGGCAGTTTCTGATTTGGCCTAGAAATGAAAAAAGGAAGGAGGACAGTCAAGAGAGGAACTGAGATGGAGAGAGGTAGCCAACAATTATGGCTATACCAGGTCTGAAGGAAAGGGGGGCTGGAACCCAGCCCTGTGCCCTCAGAGGATACTCAGGACAGGAATCCAGGCTGGTAAACCCATTATCCCCCAATTCAAGGTAGCCTTGAAGCTCAGCTTTGGAGGGTATACTCGTAAGCAAAAGTGAGAGAAGCCAGAAAGTAAGTGTAGTAAAGATATACCTCTCCAAAAGTTTAAACACCAAATATAGCAATAGAAAAATCCTCAAAAAAAGCTCAGAGTACTAGTAAATAAATCAGTCCTAAAAGCAGGAGGAAGAATGAGTACCAAATCTTCAAAGGGAATACAAACTCTCTTAACAAACATACAAGACAAAGAAAATTAAACCAATGCCTGATGAAATATGGAATCCTGTAGACTCCCACGAGAGCCTAGAGCAGCAAGAAACTCCAGAATGTTTCAGAAAATAAATGAAACCCATGAAAGGAGAAACTAGGAATATAGTCGGAATTTAGAGTTTTCAATGCAGCATTTTAAAACTCATGTAAAAAATTAGGAAAAAATGAATCCATAACAGAAAGTATCTTAAAGAAGTGAAAGAGTTTAACAGATTTGGAAAATAGAAATACTGAGGAAGGGAAAGATCTTTCAGAAAAGAAGTAAATGGCTACAACATTAACAGAACACATTAATTCTATACATGCCAAAGCCATCTACCTTGAAGATAGGATATGCCAAGATCACTTGAGACTCATAGATCTCCTACAAGAATACAACAAATCAAAAAACATAAATGGCATCATACAGAAAATAGAAGAAAACTGCCCACAACTTCTAAATAAAGACAACGAAGCACCAATTGAGAAAATACACAGATCACCTCCAGGTTCCAACTTTAAGATATAAAAGTCGTAAATTAAACATTTAAATGACAACAAAATTTTTAAGTGGCCAGGAGAAGTATCTTTAGATACAAAGGAAGTTTGAATAACATAAGAAAACATAATCATGAGAAGTCACAGAAGGGGGATGGAATAGTATGTCCAGAGAAGCAAAGGAGCACAAACAGCAACCCAAAATGACCTACTCTGCAAATCTGAGCCTAATAATAAATGAAGTAAGATAGATGTTCAACAAGAGGCATTTTTAAAACAAAATGATTTTTTAAATGTGAACAGAATATTAAAATAAACATGAAGGTAAAAGTAATAAAATTATCCCATGTTTAGAGAGATAAAGACCTCACTGTTGAAAAGAAAAAAAGGAATCAAGGGATTTTTTTTTAAAGGAACACATGAAGTTAAAGATATAAGCAGAACGTAAAGAAACAGGAAAAGTGAAGACAAAGAACAGACTGAAACACCATGAACTAAACCTCATACTAAATCTCATAACCCCTATTTTGTGGGACAGAATAGCAGAGAAAGAAGATATATGAATAGGGAGAGGAAAAGTTGGGTAGGCATAGGGAAATGGATTATGAATTCTACCAAGTCCACAATATGGAGAGAGATTATATTCCTCTACTATATTTTTGAAAAGGGGAGATGGCAGAAAATGGAGACAGAGACGTCATGATGGATTTAATTTGGGGAGAGTACATATGCTAGAAGACTATCTTCTCAGATATTGTTGTGCCTCCAAGGGGCACAACAGCCTGGCTCAGGTTAAGGGATATTTGAGCTCCTAGGGGCAGCTGGTACCCAGAATGGTGAAGAAGGGAAGAAAGAGACTTGAACTCAAAGATGAAACAGCCTTTGGGAAATGAAATTATTATGGAAAAGGCAAGGAATAGGATCATACTGCACAGTTTGGGACACAGGACTGTTTCCATGTAGTAGAAAGGACATTAAGGGGGAAAGATATTAAGACAAGATCTATCAAGGCAATAATAGAGAATCTGGTTAGAATGAGTAACTCTACTCTAATACTTCAGAAACTTTAGCCCCAATAAGGAATAGAAGAATTAGAGAAGAAATAAATAAGAGCACATATAATAAATCAGAGAATAAAATTTAAGAATTGGAAAGGAAGAAAATTAATGATGAGAACAAAGCAAAGAAAAACTTCTTAGAAAAAGACACAGTATAGAGAAAATTAATAAACACAAGTACAGTAAGACAAAAAGAAAAGATCTTGAGTTATATCATTGATTTAAGCAAAATTAATCACAGTGAAAGTAAAGTATTTTTGCTGTATTTTCATAATGCAGACTTTTAGTCCCAACTCTGCTGAAAAATATGACATCTTCTTAAATGAGAGGATTAAAGAATATATGTATTTTTCAACACTACATAGTGCTTTTATAAAAAAAAAATAAACTATGTGCTAGGGCACGTACTAGATTTGCAGCTTAAGCTAGTTTAAAGTACAGAGAACTGTTTCCTCAACTATAAAATGGAAATAATAATACTCAAGAAAATAAATGTAACAATAATTTAAAAAGACTAAAATAATACATGTAGGGTTTTCATTATGATCCTGATAAAAATGGATCCAAATGCCTAAGTACAGTAAAATAATTTCCTGTTAGTAGCAGGGCTGAACTTAAATGGTTATGGTATTGAAAGCATACCCAGGAGTCTCCCATGTCTTCAGTCTCCTTCTGGGTTGATGAAGTTTTCTTCTGTCATCTTAATACTCACCTTTTTTTCTTTTTTAATGTAAATAGCAATTGTTTCTGTTTTGGCCAGAAACCCTGAGGGTCTTCCCCTCTCAGATAGTTTCTTTTCTTTTTTTTTTTTTTTTAATTTTTAGTTTTTGACTAGGTAAAGAGGCCATTCTCTGCCTCAATCCATATTAAGCCTTGAATCACTGAATGAGCGATGCCTCAGTCAAACTGAGACCTGTTAAAGACCTTAGCTTGAAAAGGCCAAGGTCCCTAATGCCTCCTGGGTCATCTTCAGTTGTCCTGATCTGTATCTGGCCACTGGACCCAAATGGTTCCAGAGGAGAAAGTGAGGCTGATGACTTTGCACAGCACTCCCTCACTTAAATCCAATTCACTTCCATGCCAGGGCATCACCTCCATGACATCATGGTCCTCTTCGAGAACAAAGGACAAACAACCCACCTTTTAAATAAATGCCTTTTCTTGGGTCACTGGAGGTGGTAAGTCAAGAAGAAAAGGGTTATATGCAAGGAAGGGGAAAATAGAAATATACATCCTCTCCAGAAGTCAAGAAAGCCACTAGGTCCAACCTTCTTAGTGCTTGATCTGATTGTCCAGGCCTGGCCTTTCAGCTTTTGGGTTCATGTATATTTTGAGTGTGTCAAAGAACTCTTCAGTATTTGTATGCCTTCTCCAAGAAAAATAAGGCCCATGCTAGAACAAAGTTGCAAAGACTTCATAGGAGCTCTGGTAGGCTTATCTTCACAGGAAGACAGCAGGTTCAGCTTTTCTGAATTGGGTGTTTCCAATCAGTTTCTTCATCATAAAAGATTCTGCCCATGCAAAAGAAGTTTGTATCTTTGGGCAAACTGGAAGAGACCTGAGAAGCTCCAACTCGCTAAAGGCCTACCTTCTGGCCTCTGTTTTACTACATAAATTTCCTGGTAATGTGGCAGATTTCCAGATTTTTAAATTATCATCTCTCCAACAGATGAATTTCCTTTTCCATAACATGTCCAAATTGTACATGAAATCACTCTAGTTGCCAATATATTGGCTTTATTTTGGCACTCAATTTCCACATTTTCTTTTTCTCTACCAAACCTATACCTTTATTCTTTCTACTTAGGAATTCTATGACACTTATTCTAACTGAGATAGCTCTGTAAGAAAGTCCACTTTTTAAAAAAAAAATCAAATAAAATATCTGATCTGTTAGCCAAGAAATTTAGAAAAACGGGTCTCGTTTTATATACTACTGCTTACATGTATTACATACAACTTTTCCTCAGGGAGCTTCTGGTGTTTACATAGATTATATTCTACCAAGAGTATAAGTTTAGTCATTTTTAAAGTTTGATAATATTTGCATATCATAGATAAAATTTTTAATTTTTCAGTAGACATTACTCAGATCTTAACCATGTAGCATGACTAAATGACTATACAATATACGTTATCAGTATGGTGATAAAATTTTTAAAATGCCAACCTCATAGAACAGGAAAAGGACACTGATGATGAGTGGCACAGCTTAGAGTTATCTTAAGGAAAATTGTAAAATAGGTGAGGTCTGTCTAGGACATTTTTTAACCTTTCTTTTCATTGCCTCTTTACTCTTTCCTGGTACTCCCCCGCCCCAGATCCCAACCTGTTCCCATACTTGTTTTTAGCAAAAAACTAAAATATAAGTGTATAAGCCTAAGGTATGATTGTTCCCAGGGATGTGGGATTTTCAGAAAGATTTCTGGATAAATAGCAATAATACTATTTGTTTGTCCTCTATGTCTTCCCTTCTAGGACAGCAGTTTGTTTTTTTTTTTA